CCTGAACGCCATAAAGCTACTGAAATGTGGGAAAGCAGCAGGACCAGATGGAATACCGCCAGAAGCACTGAGAACAGATGCAGAGACAACAGCGGACATGCTCACACCACTATTGCAGAAGGTGTGGAAGGAAGAGAAGGTACCTGACGACTGGAAGAAGGGTTACCTTGTCAAACTGCCGAAGAAGGGAGACCTCAGTGCTTGCAAGAACTGGCGCGGAATCACTCTCCTGTCCACCCAGAGCAAGTAAAATATTAAGCCGCATCATCCTAGAGAGGCTTAAAGACGCACTGGATTCAAAACTGCGACCGGAACAGGCAGGCTTCAGGAAGTACAAATCATATGCAGACCAAATTGCAACGCTTCGTATCATCATAGAACAGAGCATAGAATGGCAATCAGCTCTCTGCCTCAACTTCATCGACTTTGAGAAGGCCTTTGACAGCGTCGACCGAGAAGTAATTTGGAAACTGCTTCATTACTACGGAGTACTGGAAACCTTAATCAATCTCATTCAACAACTATCTGAAGAGGCTACATGCCAAGTAATTCACAATAAGAAGCTCAGTGATGCTTTGAAGTGAAGACAGGAGTGAAACAAGGTTGCCTACTATCCCCCATGATATTCCTGATTGTGGTCGACTGGATCATGCAGCAAACAGTGGGGAGCGAGAAGAGGGGGATACGCTGGCTGGACAGCGGAAAAGAACCTAGAAGATCTGGATTTCGCCAGTGATGACTTATGCCTAATGTCACACAAACTTGAAGATCTACAGGCAAAAACTAACAAGTTGATAGAAGAGGTAAGGCAGCTAAGACGGGACTTCAGGTGAATATAGAGAAGACAGAAGTGATGAAGATACCGCACCACCACCATCAACAACAACAACAAACTCCAATCACCGTCAACGGGAGAAACTTGAAGGAAGTAACCTCCTTCACTTATCTAGGAAGCACTGTTTCAACTACAGGCGGGACGGACGAGGACGTCAAAGTGAGAATCGGAAAAGCAAGACAGGCCTTCATTAGCCTGAAACCAGTGTGGAGATCTTCTGCACTCAGCATCTGGAACAAGATACGGATTTTCAACACCAACATCAAGTCAGTGCTCTTGTATGGTTCAGAGACTTGGCGCGTTACGAAAGGGATTTCCAATAAACTACAGACATTCATCAACAACTGTTTACGCTCGCTACTGAAGATTAGATGGATTGCCAGAAAGAATAAGCAACAAGGAACTCTGGGAACGAACCAACGAAGCAAGAACCTATCACGCAACAAATATGCAGGAAGAAGTGGAGATGGATTGGGCATGCACTGAGAAGGCCGACTGAGGACATCACGCGTCAGGCCCTCGAGTGGAACCCCCATGGGAAGCGACGAGTTGGACGTCGGTGTCGAGGGTGACATGGAGGAGGTGGTGCGAGGAGGAAATGAGAGGTTGTGGGCTGTCGTGGGACCAGGTTCAAAAGATCTCAGAGAACAGAGGTCACTGGAGGCGTGCTACTGAAGCCCTATGTTCCACTAGGAACCCAAGGGACTAATATAATAATAATAATAATAATACTAAGTGCTATAGATCAAATAAACAAATATAATAAGGAATTAATTTCTAACACAGTGCGCAAGTTTTACACTCATATCAATGAAACATATGGTCTCCTTGTTCGAAGACTAGTCAATGAACATACACGACTTTCACAAACTGAAGCACGTTACACAAATCATCGTGTTTTCAATATTCATTGTATGAAGCATCAAGTTATCCCTAAATATCTTCGTCTACGTATTCCCCCATCCACTGATAAAACCAAAAGAGCAACAGAACATGTCAGCAAACTTTGTCTCAAGGAAGAAATTCACGGGATTATCAGGAAGTTAAACACGATCCGCAATAAAATTGAACAACTAAAATGTAAACTTATGAAGATAGTAAACAGCAGAGACTATGAACTTCTTATATGAACATGAGATAAAGCAAGATTAGCTGCATTCAGGAAATCCAGAAACAGTCAAATCAAAAAGTTGAACAAATTAATGCAAGAAAAATATTCATCGGAAGATAATGAAATTACAAATGAAACATCATCGACAGAACAACGATAGAACAAAGTGGGTATTCAATCTCTCCTCGAGAATCCTAAGCTTAGCTGAGATGAAACTACTCGAAAAAGAACTAAACTTCAACGTCACTGTAGGTCATCTAAAACCGGAAGATGCCATATCTAGCGTCGAAGTAGCATTAAGCTCAGTGGATACAGCAACTACTGAACAGGTTAGAGCACGGTGTGCGTTAATACTCAAATGACAAAAGAAGAGACAGCGAAACTTAAAAGAACTTGAATGAAATTTTATTTTTACTGGATGATGGTTGAAAGTAAAGTGAAAATTTCGACCGTGGCTGGAATCGAACCAGCGACCACCGACTTTCCGGCCCAACGCTCTACCAATTGAGCCACGAGGTTTAGTTGGTAGAGCATCGGGCTGGAAACCAGGTGGCCGCTGGTTCGAATCCGGCCGCGGTTCAAATTTTCATTTCACCTTCAATCATCACAGAGTAACAATACTAGTCTTCCAAACCAAGGTTATCTCAGATAGTCAAAAATGAAATTTTACTTGAAAGGTTGACGAATGTTGAAGGAGATCTTGGATTACAGTAGGACTCAATGGCCTTTAGATTACTTTCCCGGGGTTATGGGATCTAAATACTTTTTTGTAACGATTTATCGCCAGTCTGATCATCAAGTAATCAAAAGTGACATATGACTTATCATTATTACTTGTCCCTTCAGCTCCTAGTGGAACATAGGGAGTCACTATCACGTACTCTGCAGTCATTCTAACCTGGCTTCACCACTGCCAATAACCTTTCATTTATTCCTCACACAATCTCCTCCATGTCACTCTCACTTCGGACGCCCAACTCATCATTTCCCATTTCGATTCCACTTGACGGCCTTGTCTGGCACGTGATGTCCCCGAATGGTCCTCTCAGTGTATATCCAATCCAATCTATCTCCACTTTATTCTACTCCATATATGTTGGGTGATAGCTTCTTGCTTCGTTGGTTGGTTCGTTGTCAGGCCACACTTCCTCCTGGCTTTTTCTTCCTGGTCTTCTGATATGATCTTCAGTACCGAGTGTGCGTAGGCAGCAGCTGTTGATGAATGTCTGTAGTGTATTAGAAATGCATTTCGTAAGGCGCCAAGTCTCTCAACCATCACATAGAAGCACTGACTTATCTGACTGATATTAGTGTTGAAAATCCGGATGTTGTTCACGCTTTATGCTGAGTGCAGTACAGTGCAGTGGAGTGCAGTACAGTGGAGTGCAGTGCAGCGCAGTGCAGTAGATCCGCACACTGATTTCAGATTAGTGCAGGAAGGTCTGTTGTGCTGTCTTTCCGATGCTGGATTTGACGTCGTCATCTGTGCCCGTGCCACCTGTAGTTGAAATGATGGCGCCTGAGTAGATAGGTAGGTGAAAGAGACAACTTCCTTCACATTTCTCCCGTTGACGGTGATTGGTGCTTGTTGTTGGTTGGGTATCTTCATTACCTCTGTCTTCTTCTTTACGTTCGCCTGAAGGAAGTCCCGTCTTCGCTGCCCTTTCTGTTCTGCCAACTTGTTCATTTTCACCTGTACATCTTCGAGTTTGTTCGAGACAAGACATTGGACATAAGTCATTATTGGCTCCAAATCTCTCAACCATCACACAGAAGCACTGACTTACTTGACTGATATTAGTGTTGAAAATCAGAATCTTGTTCACGCTCTATGCTGAGTGAAGTGAAGTGCAGTGCAGTGCAGCAGATCTCTACAATGATTTCAGATTAATGAAATATGGCCTGTGTTGCTATCTTTCCGATGCTGGCTGACTTTGGTATCCTCATCTGTGCCTGTGTCGCTGCCTGTAGTTGAAATGATACTGCCTGTCTAGGTGGGTGGAAGAGACAACTTCTTTAAGATTCCTCCCGTTCATGGTGACTGGTGTTTGTTGTTGTTGTTGGTTAAATATCTTCATCACGTCTGTCTTCTTCGCTACGTTCACTTGAAAGAAGTCCCGTCTTCATTGCCTTGCCTGTCCTGCCAACTTGTTAGTTTCCACCTGTACACCTTAGAGTTTGTGCCACAGTTTACATAAATCATGATAGGCGAAATCCAAATCTTCTTCTGGGGGTCTTTTCATCGGTCAAACAGCGTATGTCCATCTTCTCGCTCCTCGCAGTTGTTTGTTGCATGACCCAGTCCAGTCGAGTGGACCACCATCAGGAAGATGATCGGTGATAGTAGCTGGCTACCTTGTTTTACCTATCAACCTATCTTCTCTTCAAATGCATCACTGAGCTTTCCATTGTGAATCACTTAGCATAGAGCATCATCATCATCATATAGCTACTGTTGAATGAGGTTGATAAAGGTTTATGTCAGTAGCACTGTAGTGTTGAAGCAGCTGTCAAATTACTTCTCGGTCGACGCCTCGATGGGAGGCTTTTTCAAAATCGATGAATTTGGGGTAAAGATTAGATTTATGACTTGTTGTACTTCATTTGAATAGCTCCTCAGCTGTATTGCTTTATTGCAACCTTATTTGGATGAGATTGGTGAGGCGGTAGTAAAGATTGACTAGTTACCATTCGACCTGTCTTTGATGATCTTGATATTACCAATCTGATGTCATCTTCTTGGATGTGGCTAGCAGTAAAGTTAAGGACATACGTTTTGTCGTATTCGGGACTTATCAGCTGATTGTACCTGAATCCCAGTGACTAGTGTTATTCCTGTTTGAACTCAAACTCAGCACTCGTGGCTTCAAGCACCAGAGCGTTATCCACTTGTCTATGAAGTCATGAAAGCCACCTCTTTTGATTGATCGCTTATAGTTTCATATTGATTGGCATCACAATGAACTGAATTGATCGTTTACCGTCAACAGATAAGCATCAGTGAGCGTTCCTGTTGTCAAATTTATTCTTTCCTTTTTCTTCATTTGTTTCCAGATACAACTTATAAGCGAATGAAACAAGCAAAATCATGTATACCTAAACGATCAGCGCATAGTGTTTCCAAAATTGTTGAATCTATTGACCTGAATAAACCGATAAATAGATCAATTAGCAGTAATAATAAACATTCGTCACGTCTACCATATGATATAAATGACTTCCCACATATAGAAATTTTAGATGATATTCGACGATTAATTGATCCAGATGATTTAATAAATCGTGTTGTATATGATTTAGACGAATTGATAGTGAAGACAATGAAAGATGTACAACTCTCACAACAACAACAACAACACCAACAGTTGACATCTTCTATATCACGTTCATCATCACCGAAGAATTTATCACATTTTATAGCACCATTTGTTAACATCGAATGTGATCGATGTACTACAACTGCAGTTCTAACGACAGGAACAACAACAACAGTAACAACAATTCCTTCACTTACATCATTATATCCTACTGAACTATCCTCTATGCAAATATTCTCACCGAAAATACAAGTAGATAATCTTTCAATGAATAATTGTATATTAAATATGACTAAAAAGGTGACTGGTTCTACCCAATTTGTCAATCACCTATATCCTCCAACTAAATCTCCATTGTCTTTTACCAATTATCATGTGAATTTATGTGAATTATCCAATGATGTAATCTCAGGCGATTCATTTGTACTGTCAAATCGTGATGAACTACTGTAAGTGGTTTTTCAACTATGTGTATTAGTAGTAATAATAATAAAAGTCATGAAATATAACGGAAGAATATTCTTTTCAATAACTTCTCATCAGATTCTACATTTATAAAATCAATTTCATTAACAATATTAATAGCCAGAATTTCACGATGAATACATTTAACAATGGATGTTGGTATGGAATTATAACTGCAATTTAATTCTTCAAGATTGTGGATAGTGGTGTAATTTATATATGTTCTCTGTCTTCAAGTGAACGTAGAGAAGATAGAGGTGATGAAGATACCCAATCACCACCACCAACAACAACAAGCTCCAATCACCATCAACGGGAGAAACTTAAAGGAAGTAGTCTCTCTCACCTATCTAGGCAGCATCGTTTCAACTATAGGTGGCACGGGCACAGACGAGGATTTCAAAGCCAGCCACGATCGGGAAGACAGTAAGACAGGCATTCATCAACCTGAAACCAGTGTGGAGATCTACTGCACTCAGGATAAACAAGATCCAGATTTCCAACACTAATGTCAGTCAGATAAGTCAGTGCTTTTATGTGATGGTTGAGAGACTTGGCACGTTACAAAATGCATTTCCAACAAACTACAGACATTGATCAACAGCTGCCGTCTACGTTGACTCGTTACTGAAGCTCAGATGTCCAGAATAACAAGAATAAGCAACAAGGAACTGTGGCTGGCTGGCTGGCTGGCTGGCTGGCTGGCTGGCTGGCTGGCTGGCTGGCTGGCTGGCTGGCTGGCTGGCTGGCTGGCTGGCTGGCTGGCTGGCTGGCTGGCTGGCTGGCTGGCTGGCTGGCTGGCTGGCTGGCTGGCTGGCTGGCTGGCTGGCTGGCTGGCTGGCTGGCTGGCTGGCTGGCTGGCTGGCTGGCTGGCTGGCTGGCTGGCTGGCTGGCTGGCTGGCTGGCTGGCTGGCTGGCTGGCTGGCTGGCTGGCTGGCTGGCTGGCAATGAACCAACCAATAACCTATCACCTAACAAATATGCACCGGAAGGAAGTGGAGATGTATTGGGCATGCACTGAGAAGACCATTCGGCAACATCACATGCCAGGCCAGGCACCCGAGTGAAATGTAGATGAGGAATAGTGAGTTGGGTGTCCGAGGGTGATATGAAGGAGATGGTGTGAGGAAGAAATAAAAGCTTGTGGGCTGTCGTGGAGTCAGGTTGAAAAGATTGCAGAGAAGAGAATGGAATTGCGACGTGCTACTGAAGCCCTATATTCCACTAGGAACCCAAGGGACAAATAATAATATATACTTACATGTTTGTCAGTTGTGGAGATAAGTTGAGTGTAAACTTTTTCAGTTGACTGTGGATCAGACACATGCAGAAAGTAAATTTAGAATAAAGTTCCAGGTTGAACATTGTGTCGAATGAGTGCAGTAAAACCTGTACTAGCATCTATTTGGTGTCATGTGTGTATTAAATATGCTAGTATAGAACTTCTAATGGATTTGATGTCACCCTTTGCAAACCATGTCGGTAGATGTTCTCGTCTCTTGAGACGGACTTGTCTAATGGTGCACCCTTCATAACTTGTTCCACAGGAACAATGGAATTGATATATTCATGGTGATGAGCTTAAATGAGGTAAGGTGGTCTTAAGTCACCAGTTGATCAATGGTTGCTACTAAAGAACAGGCATAGACGTTCTGAGTAAAACCTTCTATTTATTGCTCTAGATAAACGTTGTGATAATATTTCACTAGTGGTGTCTCATTTGAATTGCTGACGCAGAAACAAAACATTTTTCCTACACAGTTGTCGATTTGAGTGTAGAAAAAACCTTTGTTTCTCCCGTCTTATTATAATATACCTGGAAAATTCCTGTTAATATTTTTTTTCTTCACTTTATTACTACTCTCATAATCTAAATCGTCTCACATGTTAACCATCTCTGTTATGATGACATATCTACTCCATTTCTCTACCTCAACTTTATCGACTTTGAGAAGGCCTTTGACAGCGTCGACCGAGAGGTAATTTGGAAACTGCTTCAATACTACGTAATACCGCAAACCTTTATCCGCCTCATTCGACAACTATATGAAGATGCCATATGCCAAGTAATTCAGAATGGGAGTTCAGTGATGCCTTCGAAGTGAAGTGAAGACAGGAGTGAAACAAGGTTGCCTACTATCCCCCATGATATTCCTGATTGTCGTCGACTGGATCATGTAGCAAACAGTGGTGAGCGAGAAGAGGGGGATACGCTGGCTGGACTGCGGGAAAGAACCTAGAAGATCTGGATTTCGCCGATGACTTGTGTCTGATGTCACACAAACTTGATGATCTACAGGCGAAAACTAACAAGTTGTCAGAAGAGGCAGCGAAGACGGGACTTTAGGTGAATATAAAGAACATACCGCACCACCACCAACAACAACAAGCTCTAATCACCATCATCGGGGGAAGCTTAAAGACTTCACTAGCACAGCGCCATTTCTCTCTCTTCTATGCAGTCCCTTCAACCTGACTCTACGACAGCCCACAAGCTTTCATTTCTTCCTCACACAATCTCCTCTGTGTCATCCTCAGACAACCAACTAGTCGTTTCCCCTTTGGATTCCACTCAAGTTCCTGGTCTGGCACGTGATGTCCCTAAATGGTTCTTCCAGTGTGTACCAAATCCAGTCTATCTCCACTTTCTTCTGCTACATACATGTTGGGCGGTAGGATCTTGGGTGGTTTGTTGCCAGGCCACACTTCCCCCTTGCTTATTCTTTCTCATCTCACCTCATCTTCACTATCGAGTGAGCGTAGGCATACACGTAGGCGTGGGCGGAAGCTGTTCATGTATGTCTGTAGTCTGTTGGAAATGCTTTTCGTAACGCTCCAACCCTCTCAACCATATAGTATTACTAACTTGACTGAATTAGTGTTGAAAATCCGGATGTTATTCACGCTTTATGCTGAGTGAAGTGGAGTGCAGTGTAGCAGATCTCCACACTGATTTCAGATTAATGAAATATGGCCTGTCTTGCTGTCTTTCCGATACTGGCTGACTTTGGCATCCTCATCTGTGCCTGTGTCGCTGCCTGTAGTTGAAATGATACTGCCTGTCTAGGTGGGTGGAAGAGACAACTTCTTTAAGATTCCTCCCGTTCATGGTGATTGATGCTTGTTGTTGTTGTTGTTGTTGTTGTTGTTGTTGTTGTTGTTGTTGGTTAAATATCTTCATCACCTCTGTCTTCTACTCTAGGTTCACTTGAAAGAAGTCCCGTCTTCATTGCCTTGCCTGTCCTGCCAACTTGTTAGTTTCCACCTGTACACCTTAGAGTTTGTGCCACAGTTTACATAAATCATGATAGGTGAAATCCAAATCTTCTTCTGGGGTCTTTTCATCTGTCGAACAGCTCATGCCCATCTTCTGGCTCCTCGCAGTTGTTTGTTGCATGATCCAGTCCAGTCGAGTGGACCACCATCAGGAAGATCATCAGTGATAGTAGGCGGTTACCTTGTCTTATTTTACTCCTGTCTTCTCTTCAAAGGCATCACTGAGCTTTCCACTGTCAATCACTTGGCATGTAGCATCATCATCAGATAGCTGCTGTTGAATGAGGTTGATAAAGGTTTGTTGCAGTAACACTGTAGTGTTGAAGCAGCTGTCAAATTACTCCTCGGTCAACGCCTCGATCGGAGGCCTTTTCAAAGTGGGTGAAGTTGAGGTACAGATACAGTGGACTGCCATTCTATGCTCTTTTCTATGATGATGCATAGCGTTGCGTTGCAAATTGGTCCGCATATGATTTGTGCTTCCCGAAGCCAGCCAGCCTGTTCCGGTCGTAAGTTTGAATGCAGTGCATTATTAGCCTCTCGAGGATGGTGGGACTTAATATTTTGCTTGGGGTAGACAGGGGCACGATTTCGTGCTTAAGAAAGCAGTTATGTATCCCCTTGTGGTCGACTTTGAGTCCACTTACCTGTGGTCTTTGTTCTTTCTTTGCTAAATTCCCGTACATCCCATCTTCCAAGTTATTGTTACTCCATCTTTTATCTTTCTTCAAAGTAGGCAATGACTCGGTAAGTGTATCACGTCCTTCAGTTTTTGTAGTTGTAGTATCGATCTCTTGCTTGTTTTAATCACTGTTCAACTTTCAATGGAAGGTTTAACCACTCAAACTTTGATTGTCCTTTGGAAGTTTCAACAATCGCTCAATCTAATGTTGTTGTTTGTATCAATCGTGTCATCGAGTGGACCGAATTGGTCGTTCTCTATTTGCATATGGCCTCGTGTGTGAATGCCTTGAACTGTATAACAATGGTGGATAGTGGCTAGCAGTAGAATATATCTTGACACGCGTTTCGTCCTATTTTGGACTTGTCAGAGAGAACAATCAATCCGGTCCACTCAGCAACAGGATAAAATAAACAACAACATTGAAAATATAGTCATCGCACAAAAAGTGGCTATCATGACCTCATGGTCTAGCGGATAACTCTTCGGCGTTCGAAGCGATCGGTTCTAAGTTCAAGGCCCAGTGAGAACAACATCGCTCTGTAGGGGGCAGGTATACCTAGCCGGCAAGCCCCAAAGAAGACCAATCGCATGTTCCGAATTCTTCTATTAGCTACTATCCATCATTAATAGCTTAATCTACTAACTATTGACCAACAAAAGAATTTGAAATTTATGGTAAACTGAGAATTTTTGAAAAAATGCCTTGTTTCTACCCTGTTCTTTATCATGATATCTTCAATTAATCCTATCTGTATACATTTCTTCATTTAATTTCTCAGGGTTGATCATTTTGACTTCGAGAAGGGACATTTAAAGTTTGAATCGCGTTTTGAATGTGGCAATCTTCGTAAGGTTATACAAGTAAGCCTTTAGTAATTGATAATGTCATTTAGATTGCTTTTCTAAATAAGTCAATTATACTCATATGAATTTGTTTTGAATTGGTCAACATTGCTAAACAAGGCTAAATTTACCGGCTTTTGTACTATTCGAAGAGGTTAGATTACTACTAACAGGATAAGGAGAGAATTAACAGTTGTATTCATGTGTTCCTTAATCATATACCAATGTCGAAAAGGTGCGGCTTCCTAGTTCGACTCCTGAATAGCTACTTATTTCATTTGATTACTAGATAATGTATTTAGTTTGTGACAATTTGCCTATCGCTTAGTTGCTCAACTGCACGATTTCTAAATGTCACATTGGAGTAGAACCTCACAGAAAAATGCATCAGTTACTGCGCTTTACAGCGTGGTGTAACAAACAAGAGGATAGAAAATACATGATATTAAAGTAGACAAAACTTTACCTGAGCTTAGATGATCAGCAATTGGAGTTGAATGAAAATATTCTAAGACGGCAAAGAATTTATACATCTGCGCAATTGTGATTGTTCGCCAAGAAATCAATCTGAAACCTCAATAAGATACTCTTCACTTGCCCACATTGCTTAAAACAAACAGAGATTTCATAGACTGGTGTCTGATTTCAGTCTGATGACTATTGGATCATCTCTGCTCTAGTCTACATCGGTTGATAATAGATTTTGAGTGGCTCCGTATGCTCAACACACATCCAAGTTGCCTTAGTCGATAAACGTTCACGAAATTGTCGACTGAAGTCCCTTTTTCTTCTAAGACTCTGTACCATATTTTAACATTTTTATAATAATGGTACATAGTGACCAGCAGCGAAATCCAGTATTGTAGTTTCATCCTGTTTGGGACTCGTCAGCTGGATATACCTGCTTCTTAGTGAGCGATGTTGTTCCAGCTAATATTAGAGCTGTGTACCGATCACTTAAAATCCTAAAGCATAATTCCATCAAACATGAAGGTACTTGTGATCATAAGCGTGTAACTTTTTCATACCTTTTGGTTCCCTAGATGACATCTCATTGACGTGAAATGAAAATAAAAAAGTGGGTTACTGTGTGGTATACTCATTTTTTGATAGGTAGACGAATGTCTCACCCATACTAACTGACGTTTTTAACGTAATTTACCATGGCAATTTTATGTTACTGGTTCGTTATACTTATCACAGGTGTCAGAAAGGCGTTGTTCAATGAGATTAACACCATGATGTAACAATTATTATAAAATGTTACTATGTATCTTGATAAGTAGCTGAGATGAAAACTTCCCTCAGTTCACACTACTTATTATGAGATGAACAGTAGTTTAAGTCTTTCCAAAATTACATCCATACAATATGTTAACACGTAGCGTCTCTTTCATTAAGTCAGGCTGTTAAAATTCTCTTTCTAGCACTAACTGAATAAATTTACTGTATTTTCCTCAAGGCTTCCTTAGTGTTGTAAGATATTTCTCTATGTAAACAAGGTGCTACCATAGAGATGATGCCTAAATAGGGATTCATAAAAGCCAATATATGATTAGGTATAACTGTGTAACAGTCACAGTTACCACACTTCATATCATCACATCAAGTGAGAAAGCTAATAAGAAGTAACATAAAGAAGAAGGCAGTCAAAAATGATTGAAAGTCATCAGAAGAAACCAAGAAAGAATAGAAAAATACTGGAATTCAACATGACGATTAAGATGAGGATAATGTACAGATACTTCTACACTATTTCAGTCATTTCTGAGTCATATCACCCAACCTAAACCTACTTCAGCTAACATTGGTCAACGAGCTAGACAATGACTAGGCATGCGTAACATATGTAGCAGTTACCTGAGCTGATAAAGGTTCGTAAGCCCACCAACTAACTTTAATCTTCTCCCTAAAACTCTACACCTAACTTCCACATAACTGATTTTGGTGACTCCATGATATACGGCCTGCGCTACGAAGTGAACGGTGATCAAATATCTGTAGTATTCTCATATTCTCTTCGTTTAACGGCCTTGTTTCATGGTAATATAGTGGGACGAACCGTACTTTAGCGCGGTACACTCTGCCCTTAATAGATAATCAGATATCAAGGGCAGAACCATAAAAAGCGTAAGTTGGTGGACACAAATCGAGCCTTTTGTATCTGTGAAGATGATAATGATGTTTCATATATATATATATATATATATATATATATATATATCAGGTTAGTTGGTCAAAATCGAATTCGACTTTGAAACTGTTGACTTACTGTGATCAAACTGAATGGACATTCAAAGACCAAACGTTAACCCCATTGATTGCTTATATACTCGACAATATTCAGACTTTAAGATATGAACAATAATAATAGCTAAATAAAATAGTCACTTGTACACAAAAATAAAGACCAGTGTGAAATAGTTTATTGATATATGGATATGTGTTGCGCATACTGAGGCATCGCCAACCCCTTCTCCTAATGTTAGTTAAAATAAGATTGGGTTGAAAGAAATTTAATGGTAGTCAAAACAAGATATGTCACCAATCCATAGGATCTGTGATCACTGGACTGAATCATTTATGAAGGTGTAGACTTTCGGGCTGGGGTCTTTGAGATGCTGAAAATCAATGGTTGAAGACGCTTGGTGATACTGGCCTAAAAATGGTTATGATGGCTCAGATGTTTACACACTATGTTGTCTTTATACAACGGTGTGAAGCTTGGCAACTTGATGCACTTCTGTGTGAGATTTTATGCTAATTTTTCTGTCTCTCTGTACATCTGCTTGGTTGTCGTCTAACCTTCAAATAACACAGTCAGAAGACGAAGTTTATTTGAACAAACTGTGTGAGTGATGTATTTGAACAATACACATTTCGAACAATCCAATCCTCCACATATTTACTTGTCCAGTCAATTTATATTCAACCAAAGAGTGGAAGGACAAATACAACAATTAACACAATAATAGGGGATTAAAATTGAGAAAGATGAGAACAAACAGGAAGAGTGACATAGTTGATCCTAATCTTGGTAAGAAAACAAACTTTACCAAGGTAGGTGTGGTGTAGGAACAAATTGTTTTTGTACACATAAACTTGGTTTCAATTTGTGTATGGCTATGGCCTTCGCGAATCTTAGTATACATCCCTGACTGTTTCTATATGAAACTTTGGAAGGTGTTTGAATATTTATTTTGTTACCTGTTTCTATGATATGTTTAGCTATAGATGAAGAGGGTCGTCTCCAGCTATGTACCAACAAAGTCCACATCAATTTGAAGGTGAACGTTTTCGACAAGTTGACGGTGTAACTATGGCTGGTCTCTTAGGACAATTACTAGCTAATATGTATATGTCATATATCGAAAATCTGGGTGGCAATCTCATCGCTAAAATTGCTCTTTACAAGAGATATGTTGACGGCATCAAAGTGGTTTGTGAGAGGCATGAGGATATAGTTTGTCTATTAAAAAGATTTAACACTGTACAAACTCACATCAGCCTGACTTGTGAGAAAGAGAATAATAATCAACGGCCATTCCTAGATGTACTCCTGAGTAGACGAGAAGATGGTTCAATAAGACAGTCAGTTTAAAGAAAGCCTACATCGACAGGACAATACCTAAACTTTCAGTTTTTGTCCAATCCAATAGAAGCGAGGTTTAGTAAAATGCCTGTTTAATGGAATCTAACGTATCTATACATCAGATAAGATGGACGAAGATATCAAATTACTGACCAAATCGCTTATGGAAAACGGACATCACTTGAAGTTTATAAACCGTTGTAGAAGTCAGGTGCCACCGAAGGTAACGGTGCTTAAGAAAAATGTCCATATCACTCTAACATACAGAGGGGAGCTAAATAGTATCATTTTGAGACGTAGGCTGACATCAGTCATTAAGAAAACTTATTACGCAGCTAATCTTACCACTGTGGAAAAAATACAACACATGCTTCACCACAAACCTAAACATTGCATTAATGATTACGTCACACCCCACTGTGTTTACCAATTTACATGTGTGTATGGTCACACATACATAAGGAGGAGTAATCCGGCCATTCACTTGAGGGTGGAAGAACATGTGCCTAAATGGCTTCAAAAATAGTTGGACTGTGAAACAGTGATAAACGCTGATGGGAGATGACCCTCTTCATCTAGAGCTAAACATATCATAGAAACAGGTAACAAAATAAATATTCAAACATCTTTCAAAGTTTTATATAGAAACAGTCAGGGATGTATACTAAGATTCGCGAAGGCCATAGCCATACACAAATTGAAACCAAGTTTAGGTGGGCCGACCACTTCAAGAAGCTCTTGAATCGACCACCACCTGCAACTAGTCCAGAAATACCACCCGCAGCCACAGAACTACAAGCGAACATAAATCCTCCAACAAAAGTGGAAGTCCTGAACGCCATAAAGCTACTGAAATGTAGGAAGGCAGCAGGACCAGATGGGATCCCGCCAGAACCACTGAGAACAGACTCAGAGACAACAGCAGACATGCTTATACCACTATTGCAGAAGGTGTGGAAGGAAGGGAAGATACCTGTCTATTGGAAGAAGGGTTACCTTGTCAAACTACCGAAGAAGGGAGACCTCAGTGTTTGCAAGAACTGGCGTGGAATCACACTCCACTTCTATCCACCCAAGCAAAATATTAAGCCACATCATCCTGGAGAGGCTTTAGGATGCGCTGGATTCAAAACTACGATCGGAACAGGCAGGCTTCAGGAAGTACAAATCAGGTACGGACTAAATTGCACCGTTACGCTGTGCATCATCATAGAACAGAGTATAGAATAGCAGTCAACCCTCTAACTCAACTTCATCGACTTCGAAAAGGCCTCCGACATCGTCAGCCAAGAAGTAATTTGGAAACTGCTTCAATACTACGGAGTACCGCAAACCTTTATCAATCTCATTCAACAACTATATGAATAGGCTACATGAGAAGTAATTCACAATGAGAAGCTCAGCTCAGTGGTGCCTTTGAAGTAAAGATGAGACAGGAGTAAAACAAGGCTGTCTACTATCACCCATGACATTCCTAATTGGCTGGCTGGCTGGCTGGCTAGCTGGCTGGCTGGCTGGCTGGCTGGCTGGCTGGCTGGCTGGCTGGCTGGCTGGCTGGCTGGCTGGCTGGCTGGCTGGCTGGCTGGCTGGCTGGCTGGCTGGCTGGCTGGCTGGCTGGCTGGCTGGCTGGCTGGCTGGCTGGCTGGCTGGCTGGCTGGCTGGCTGGCTGGCTGGCTGGCTGGCTGGCTGGCTGGCTGGCTGGCTGGCTGGCTGGCTGGCTGGCTGGCTGGCTGGCTGGCTGGCTGGCTGGCTGGCTGGCTGGCTGGCTGGCTGGCTGGCTGGCTGGCTGGCTGGCTGGCTGGCTGGCTGGCTGGCAACGAACCAACGAAGCATGAACCTATCTCTCAACAAATATGCAGTGGGAGGAAGTGGAGATGGATCAGATTGGATTGGATTGGATTGGGCATGCACTGAGAAGACCATTCGGGGACATCACGCGTCAGGCCAGTTGCTCGAGTGGAATCGAAAGGGGAAACGACGAGTTGGGCGTCCGAGATGAGGGTGACATGGAGGAGATCGTGCGAGGAATAAATGAGAGCTTGTGGGCAGTTGTGGAGTCAGGTTGAAAAGATTGCAGAGAAGAGAGTGGAATTGAGACGTGCTACTGAATCCCTATGTTTCATTAGGAACCCAAGGGACAAATAATAATAATAATGTGATGATTGAAGATGGAATCTGGGTCGTGGCTGCGACTATCGAGGGATCACTGGTTGGAATCCTGCTGTGGTCCGGATTTTCATTTAACCTTCAATCATCAACCCACCAACCTACCCCCAGTTTACGTAAGCCTCTATTAGACCAAAAGATTGAACATATCAACTCCTTTCGTTCGATTCAGTTTTTTCTTACGATTCACTATTTCTTCTCCAAAGGTTCGACAGTATGAATATGATTTGATTCTAAATCCTGATGTCAATACTTTATCAAATTTACAATGGTTCTATTTTCGTGTATCCAATATGGAGTCGAATGTTCCATATCGATTCAATATTCTGAATTGTGAGAAGGTGGGCAGTCAATTCAGTTCAGGTAAGTAAACTTTCATTTTTATTGTTTATCTTGAATTATTCTTCGAATTCAAGGTATCAGTCATGACGGAATGACATCAGTTGGATAATATTTGGAAACCTGGAAGTATTGGGGGACTGTTTTGTCCTCATATGGGACTCTTCTTAGCAGCTCCCCACCCCCTATGAAGTTCTGAGAAGAAGCCATAATCTTTTGAGTCAGGCAAGGCGGCCTTGAGAACAGGTGATCAACGATACTACTACATGATGAATGCGCTATATCTTGAATTGATAGAATTAAGAAACGGTAGCCTGACTACTGGATTTCAACTGAGTAGCTAAATGATAACGTCCTATTCGCAAGACATGATGACATTAGGGTTGATCTCGTTCAAATTCGTGGATGCACACTGCTGAGGCGTCTCGTACTGCGATGAAGCAACTGCCCAATACTCTCAGGTTTTCAATGGTTCTCTAACTGATGTCAGTTAGTCATGAATACCACTTTACTTACTATCTCGTTAGCGTATCTGATTTTTCCCCAAGTTGTATAACTAAGAAATGCTTAGCCCTGATACCGGAAAGGCCATTTGACTTGCAATGATGTACATCTTCCCTGGAGAGTGACTAAATAATTCTCTATGTGTAGAGTATCCAGCACTCGTTGAATAAATCTATGGTTTTGCAGTCCTGACGTTGTTAACTTGATCAATAAATTACTCGTGCAACCTAATATATTATCTTGGGACTAACAGGTACTCAGCAGGATGCTATAAGACACATCAAAGGTAGAACAATAGTAACAGCTGAACACTTCAACTAACCTACAGTTGAGTATTACTTAACTATTCGACTAACTGAAGCAAATACTGAATAGTAGGAGAAAAATTTCGAGGCAGAATAATTTGCTGAAAGTAGGTAATTTTACGCTAATGAAAGATAGTGAAGGAAACTTAGTTACCAAACGAGAGGAGCAAAGAAGACAATAGGCTGACTACCTCAAAAAACTCTTGAATCGCTCGCCAACACCGTCTGCAACTTATCCAGAAATACCACCAGCAGCCCAGCCACAGAACTATCAGTGAACATAGGCCCTCCGACAAAAGTAGAAGTCCTGAATGCCATAAGGCTACTGAAATTCGGGAAAGCAGCAGGACCAGATGGAATTCCACCAGAAGCACTGAAAACAGAATCAGAGACAACAGTAGACATGCTCACACCACTACTACAGAAGGTTTCCAAATAAGGAAGGAAAAGCACCTGGCAACTACATGGAAGAAGGGCTACCTTGTCAAACTCCCACAGAAGGGAGACCTAAGCCTTTACAAGAACCTTTCATGGAATCATGCTGCTGTCCACCCCAAGCAAAATACTAAGCCGCATCATCCTGCTGAGACTGGAAAATGCTCTGCATTCAAAATTACAACCAGAGCAGGCTGGCTGGCTGGCTCCAGGATCAAATTGCAACGCAACGCTATGCATCATCATAGAAAAGAGCATAGAATGGCAGTCCACTGTATCTGTACCTCAACTTCACCCACTTTGAAAAGGCCTCCGATCGAGGCGTTGACCGAGGAGTAATTTGACAGCTGCTTCAACACTACAGTGTTACTGCAACAAACCTTTATCAACCTCATTCAACAGCAGCTATCTGATGATGATGCTACATGCCAAGTGATTGACAGTGGAAAGCTCAGTGATGCCTTTGAAGAGAAGACAGGAGTAAAATAAGACAAGGTAACCGCCTACTATCACTGATGATCTTCCTCATTGTGGTTGACTCAACTGGACTGGATCATGCAACAAACAACTGCGAGGAGCCAGAAGATGGGCATGAGCTGTTCGACAGATGAAAAGACCCCAGAAGAAGATTTGGATTTCACCTATCATGATTTATGTAAACTGTGGCACAAACTCTAAGGTGTACAGGTGGAAACTAACAAGTTGGCAGGACAGGCAAGGCAATGAAGACGGGACTTCTTTCAAGTGAACCTAGAGTAGAAGACAGAGGTGATGAAGATATTTAACCAACAACAACAACAACAACAACAACAACAACAACAACAACAACAACAACAAGCATCAATCACCATGAACGGGAGGAATCTTAAAGAAGTTGTCTCTTCCACCCACCTAGACAGGCAGTATCATTTCAACTACAGGCAGCGACACAGGCACAGATGAGGATGCCAAAGTCAGCCAGTATCGGAAAGACAGCAAGACAGGCCATATTTCATTAATCTGAAATCAGTGTGGAGATCTGCTACACTGCACTCCACTTCACTCAGCATAAAGCGTGAATAACATCCGGATTTTCAACACTAATTCAGTCAAGTTAGTAATACTATATGGTTGAGAGGGTTGGAGCGTTACGAAAAGCATTTCCAACAGACTACAGACATACATGAACAGCTTCCGCCCACGCCTACGTGTATGCCTACGCTCACTCGATAGTGAAGATGAGGTGAGATGAGAAAGAATAAGCAAGGGGGAAGTGTGGTCTGGCAACGAACCAACCAACGAAGCAAGAAGCTATTACCCAACATATATGCAGTAGAATGAAGTGGAGATGGATTGGATTTGACATAGACTGAGAATACCGCATCAGGCCAGGCTGTTGAGTGGAACCGGAATGGGAAACGACTAGTTGGTTGTCTGAGGGTGATATTGAGGAGATGGTGTGAGGAAGAAATGAAAGCTTCCGGGGAGTCATAGTGCCAGTGAAGCCCTGTGTTCCACGAGGAACCGAAGAGACAAATAATAATGATGATAAGGTACGTTTACGAGGATGACATGTTATACCTAAATGAATTTGGTGATCTTACTTCCAAGTGAGTGTAGAGTGCTGAGTATTTCCGATCAGGACGAAACAGTTGTTCAATGCCACCGTGTGTTCAATGGTTGTCCAACCGATGTCAATCCACGATGAAAAATATCTTGTTGCTAGTTTGCTTTAATATAGCATAAATTCAGATTCGAAAAAGGCCCGAAGTGGCCAGACTAAAACTTGGCATCAATGAATGAAGAGTTTGACTGTTGGTGTGAGCTATGTGGGGCGATGCAGACTTTGTGGTTGAGGTCGGTGGGACAAGAAAAGCCAGTGATTTGAGACTGACATTAGGTGATGTGGCTGAGGACCGGTGTCAATGGGTCCGATATATACACACATTATCCTCATCGTAGCGACGCTATACCGAATCTCACCATTTTCTCATTCTTCATTTCTATCTCTCTCTCGCTCTTTCAGTACTTTATATTTCTTTTGACCGAACCTTCTTTTCTCCATCTTCCACTTCACTGCCCTTTTACTTGATGTACTGACATGAGGTATGGCGGCAGCTCGGACCGTTACTCAGTAATGCCTGGTCCTATGTTGATTTGGATGGATGGATTATGGATGACACCCACTGAGAGGCTAAGTTTAACTGTTTATTAGTCTGGAAGTTTCATTTGATTCAATTTGTCCATTTATTTTCCGATGGAAGAAGACTCTGGAATTAATCAACACATGATTCTGAATTCTTAATCAGAAGAAGTTGTATTGCCGGTTTAAAAGTAGTGATTTGAAGACAACAAGATGTTCTCTTCGATTGACAAGCACTCCTAGTTGTTGTTACTTTCAACTTCTACAATTAGAAGTCACAAGATCAAAAGCTGCATGTTTCACCTCTCTTTATGGCTTCTTGTCGCGCAATTCTACATACATGGACACACTGGAATAGACTGTGTGGTCAACTGCAGAAAGATATCTCTTGAATTCTGGAATAAGGTGAAAATAACCCACTTTTTGCTCCGTAGTGTAGATGACTGAAAAGTATCTACTGTTAGTATGCTTCTTAGAGAAAGAGGATTTCTCTCCCTCACCAATAACCTTCTGCTTTTTTGTTTTTCTTGTCCGTGAATTTACTAACCTATTGTCTCACCAACTTATCCAAATTCATACTCTATCTCCATTGGTAAAGTTGCTGACCAACGCCACATCGTGATCCGTATTTCGTAGGTTGAATGCAATGCAGCCCAACCCGACACAGGTGTTTATGTATGTACAAGGTTATAAGCCAAATATAAGTTGTTAGTGTGACACTATAAAAAGGCCGCAGAAAAGTGTTAAAGCAATGTTTTAACCAAAAGCAAAGACATGCTAGTTTTGTGGAATTAACAAGCTACTTATTAGTAACTTGGTTGGTTGTAGCTAGCAGAGGAATCCAAGACGCGCATTTCATTCTACTTTGGACTCGTCAGCTGGATGTACCTGCACCCTAGTGAGTGGTGTTGTTCCCACTGAGACTCTAACCTCGAACCCATTGCTTCAAATGCTCACTGGGGTGCAGGTACAACCAACTGACGAGTCCCGAATAGGAGGGAACGCGCGTCCTGGATCCTTCTGCTAGCCACAACCAACCAAATTACTATAATCTACATTCAGACAATATCGAGGCATCCGCATAGGAGCCCATATGCAAATAGACGTCGAACAATTCGATACAATAAAACAGTGAGGAATTACAAGTATATCAATAAACAGTAACTACTTATAAGTAGTATAACCTTTTAAATATATATATTTGCGCAAAAGACTACTAAAAACTGATGCTAAGCCTACCTGGTGGTTAGGTGTGGAATTCAAGACATGCGTTTCATCCTTTTTAGGACTCGGCAATTGCATTCACATGCATTACAGAGAATGATAGGGTTCCCAATGAAATTTAAAGCCAGTAATTATCGCGTTGAATCCCACAGCGTTATCTACTAGGTCAATGAGATATGAGAGATACCAGTTATGCAACGGGTATCACTTGTTCTTCATTGATGCTAATAATCTCCCTGTCATACTGAATCACATTGATTGACCTCTACTGGCAGACAAACCAGAAGTACCGATAAATAAGAACTAAAACTTTCTACACAAGAAATGTCTGTGTTGTCTGAGGAGTGCAGTGGATAACTGTTTGGTGTTTAAAGCGATGGGTAGTGGGACACCACCACTTATTAGGGTAGAGGTACATCGAGCTGAAGAGTCGT